CAGGCAGGCAGGGGGAGGGGAGGGGTGAGGCGGCGGCAGCTAGGCCGGGGCGGGCGCCACCGAGGGCAGCTGGTGCCAGGAGCACCTTGGCCTCCCCCCGCTTGCCCCGCTGCTGGCGGCCCCCAGGGGGCCAGTGGGCGGGCCCAGGGCCCCTGCTTGCCTGTGTGAAGCGGCCCTTGAATGAAACGCGGAGGCGGACCACATCGGCCGGCGCCTGCTGCTCGCCGGCCGGGGCTTCCATGCCGGAAGCTGTCTTGACGGGGTGGTGGGGGTGGGGTGGCGCCGGGCAAGCACTGACCATTGGTGCTGGCAAGGGGAGGCGGAGAGGGCTGGCCTCTTCCTCAGGCGCGGCCGGGCATCGGGCCAAGGAGCCGGGGTGCGGCTCTAGTGCAGCAGCGTCATTGGCGGGGCGAGCAGGGGTGCCGAGGGCCCGAGCAGGCCACTGGGGGGCGGCTGAGCCGCGAAGGGCTGCCTGCGTCCCTGAAAGTGTGCTGCTGACTGAGGGGTGGGTTGGGAAGGGGGGAGGGAGGTGAGAAATGGGAGGCAACGGCCCCAGAGTGCAAAAGTCCCATGCGTGATGCTGACGTGCTGCGCCCCGGGAAAATGTGGGGGGCGACTGATGCTGGGCGCATGACAACATGCATACTTCAGGGGGGCGAGGGGGATCCCACTGCCCCTGGCACGCGCATGCCTCCCCCACGGGCCATCCCCCCAATGGGGGATGGCCACAGCCGCCAGACTCAGAATCTCCGTGCAGCAGCACTGCATTCTGCCAGCAGAGAAGCGGCCCAATTGGGCGCCAGACGCCAGCGCTGTCGCAACGCCACTTAGTCGTGCAGACGGCGGCTGCACGCCAACTCCCTGCGTGTCAATGCATCTCGCCATCCCACAAGAAGCACCAACAGGTGGCAGCCTTCACCCATTGCAGCTGCGGGAGTGCAAACTGGCCTGGTGTGCACTCCCTGAGCAGGCGGGCACCTACCACGCAACTGGTTGCACGCACTTGGGCAGTGACAGTGACCATGTTTCCATGAGCCGTGGCTGGGGTGTTTGGACCAAGGCACTGCGGGGATGTGGCAGGCATCGAGCTGGGGGTGTCTAGACTGCCCGGTGCGATCGGTTCGGCACACCAGTCGGGTGGCAGCACATGCCGTGCCGACTTGAGCTGATCGCATCCTGAACGCATCAAATGGCTGCTCGTTTTCAAGCTCAATTCAGTTACACGGCTCAAACAACAGGATGCAGCCTGGTGTATTAGCCAGTAAGTTAGCCAGTTCACAAGTCGACGTCGTACTCAACAAGCGCCGCCGCTCGCATGCCGGGTACTGCCCAAATTTGCTGTGCACTGCCATTCGATTGCTGGGTTGAAAATGGTATCGATCTTGCCTCCCCTGATTCGATCAGCCAGCCACGACAGAAGACTTCTGCGCACAGCTGAATGGGCGTTGCAACACTGAAGGCGGGGGAGAGTCCCACGGCCCGGCGCCTCGGCCTTTACTTGCTGAGCCTCAGCGTGGTGAGTCTGCAGCTGAGGCCCCCAGCGTGTGATCAGTTCTTTGCAGATGCCGCTGTGTCTCAGCCTGCGGCCAGGAGCGCGTCGCTGTGAGAGAAGAGGGGAGTGATTCACGGGGGCTGGAAGTTGGGAGATGCGGGGACGAGGGCGGGGTGGGTTGGCGGGAGCGGCGACAGCAGCCGCCGTCGACGCCCCTGAAATTGAAGCACAGCACATCCTGGCTGGCGTTGCGCACCCCCTCGCCCCCGTCCAGGCCTACATCGCGGGGTACCATGGACGGGCGCGGCACAGCGTGAGCCTGCGGCCTGAGGGCAGCAGCAGCGGGCGCCCTGCCGCGGGCGCGGACGGCGAGAGGAGCGAGTGTGTGGCGCGGGGCGAGGAGTATGCTGCTGAGCTTGCCCAGATGGAGGGTGCGGGCGGCGACAACGACTTCAATGCTTCCTTCCAGTCGCCGATAACGACGGCGCGGGATGGCACCTTCCTGTGGATGGCCCAGGCCACCGGCACAGACAAAGTGCAGTACCATTGTGAGCCCCGCTCGTGATGTGCCTCAGGGGGCATGACATGCCCCCGTGTTTTCCACCAGTCGCTGCTCCCTTGTCTGCCCCTCCCAGCCGTCGCCTGCTGCTGTCTCGCCTGCCGTGCTTGCACGTGGGCGGCAGCACTCCCGGGGCCCTGGGCCCTGCTGCTGCCATGCCCGCCAGCCTGGCACACCTGCTCGCTGACCCCTCCTCCGCCCCGCCTCCCTCCCCTGCTGCATCTCAACAAACAGCCTACCACTACATGTATACCAGGTACCTAGCGCACGCCCGCTTCCACCAGCTCAACATCCTGGAGGTTGGGCTGGGCTGCGACATGCGGTACGGCGCCGGCGCCAGCCTGCGCCTCTGGCGCGCCTACCTGCCCTGCAGCCGCATCAGCTTTGTGGAGTACAACGAGTGAGCAGCGGGCAGGCCGGCCCTGCTGCCTGCATGCCTGCCTGCCATCGTGCCTGCAGCGCCTGCCTTCCTGGATGCTTGCCTGCGCGCACAACTAGCATGGCGTTGTGCGCGTGTCACGCTGCACAGCAGCACGCGATCAGCTGATCCCGGCCTGCCGCGCCCCGCCTGTGCTGCTGCTGCAGCACGTGCGCCATCAAGTGGAAGAAGGAGGTGGAGAAGGTGGGCGGGGGCAAGCTATACATTGGGTCGCAGGACGACTCGCAGCTGCTGGCGGCGATACAGAAGTACGCCAAATCCATCGGTGAGAGCCCCGCTCCAACCTGCTCTTGCCAGCGTGACCATGGCTTGCATGCAGCTGCCTCTGCGCACGCCACTTGACCACTCTGCCGCTCGTGGCCGACTCTACTGCTGCTGCTGTGCTGCAGCAGCCCTGTTGATGCTGACAATGGCTGCCGCTGATGAGTGTGCTGCCGCCGCCGCTGCTGCCGTCGCCTGCAACTACTGGTGCAGGCGGCTTTGACATGATCATCGACGACGGCAGCCACCTGCCGGAGCACCAGTGGACCACAATCGAGGCGCTGTGGCGCACGATCAAGCCGGGGGGTGTGTACATTATAGAGGTGGGCGCTGGCCCTGGCCTGCTGGCAGCACATGCTGCCTGGCGGTCTCGCTGGGTCAGAGCACCGTGCCACCATGCTGCTTGCTGACCCGATCTCCTCTCCTCTTCCTTTCCTCCAGGACCTGCACGACCACTGGTTCTCGTCCAAGGCGCTGCAGCCCGTGATGACGGCCTTCCCGCCCACCCTGCCGGTACCGCTGTACATCCAGCTCATCCACCTCATGAACTGCCACAGCTACGGCACCTGGAAGTATTCCAAAGAATCCAACTTCTGGTGCAGCCAGCAGAAGGCCAAGTCGCAGTACATGTGAGCGGCCCAATGGAGCGGCAGGCTGCGTTGCTGCAGTGATCGGCTGGCATGCCGCGCACTTGTGGTTTGGTGAGGCACCGGAGCCTCATCAACACTCATCTTTCCCACTTCTCGTCCTGTTCATCTCCCCGTGCTTGCAGCGACGTCATCAACCTGGATTGCATGTCGGAGTTTTGTGCCATGGTGAAGGGGGCGCCCCTAGGCACAATCAAGTTTCGCATTCCTGGATGAAGACGTGATCCGTGATCGGTCCATGCCGCTGTTGTTGTTGTTGTTGTGTTGCATTGTGCCCCTCATGGAGCAATGGGGAGGACAATCGAAATGTAGCAATAATGGTGTGTATGCCGCATGAGTGCGTAAGAAAAAGGTCAGAGTTGAAATAATGCGAAGCCCAGGGGAAAGCTGAACAGACAGCGGGCACGAATAACAAGCCAGGTGACTGGAAAAGTCAATGTCGCAGTGATGGTGCGAGGGCAGTCGTACTGATGGTGTAAGGGGATGCTGTTCTGGCGCATCCACCTGCCAGGACGTATCGCTGGAGGCACCCGGGGCCCACACGGTTGCTGCCCGTCACGTCAGCGCGTCTCGGGTGGCGCCATGCTGGCGAGGATCCATGCATCCATCGAGTGATACTGCCCCGCATACCCTTCGCCCACCTGCCCGATGGCCTGAATCTCCCACTGCACGTGCAGGGAACAGGAGCACAGTGTGCAGTACATGAACATCTGCACGCCGCAAGAGAGCTTGCTTGCCGGCCCTCCACCTGCCTGCCTCCGTCCCTCCCTCCTTGGGCAGCAGACTCACCCGGCCTGCCACGCGGCCGCGGTAGACTCTCAGCATCACCACGCTAGAGCAGGTCCTGCGCTGGGCCTGCGGCACATCGTCCAGATGGTACTGGCAGAGGTCCATGCCCGAGGCCGGGTCCCGCACGCTGCAGGCGCAGGGGGAAGGGCAGAGGCAACGTGGAAGGACAGGACTTGTTTCTTGTTTGGTGCAGAGTTCCAAGGTGCAAGCTCAGAGGCAGGGCAGGTGCAGAGGCAGACGCTGGTGCTGCCGTCAGCCAGGTCCCGCAACCAGCAGCAGCAGCGGCGGCAGCTGGCGGGCAGCTGCCGCTGGCATGTGGTACCCGATACCGTACCTGATGTAGGGCTGGTCGATGTCTGTCAGCATCTTGCCTGCCCAGGCGCTCATGGTAAGGTACAGGGCCTCCACCCGGGGCGGCAAGCTGCGCAGGCTGATGGTGATGGTGTGCTGCCCGCTGTCGCTGTGCACCATGTCGCCGCTGTGCCGCACGGCGCCTGTGCCACAGGGCGGGCGGCAGGGGGGGCACCAGGCGGGTGGGCAGGACTGGAAACATCAAGCATGGAGACCAGTCTCGCAGCTGAGTCGTGCATGCATCGACACCAACCACCAGCCCAGCGCTCGCAACCACACCGGCCAGCCCGCTTGCCAGCCCTGCGCGCACCTGCGCCGTTCGTGCTGCGTGTGTTGCTGTAATCAATTGCCTCAAGCAGCTCCAGCGTGGCGCCCTGCGGGGCCCCTCGCCGCCGCCCGTACACCAGGCAGCTGGCATCTAGGTAGGTGAAGTCGTCACTGCAGCGAGGCGGGGTTGAGGCACGCGGTACCGCGCTGGGTAGTGAGGGGGTCAGGCGTCAGCACGGGGTGCGTGCGGCAGCCCCAGCGCCAGGTGGAGGCAAGAAACACACTCGTTCCGGGCATGCCGCCAGGCGCCGTCCTGCAGCTGCCCACAGGGCAACCCAGCCCGCCAGCTTGTACGGCGGAAAGCTGCATGCCGTCTACCCCTCCACAACACCCATCACCAACCTGGTCTTGGAGTGCCAGCGCTCGTCCACTTCTATCGCCGCCAGGTTTGGCGGTGCGCTGTACTGCTGGCCCCGCAGCAGGATACGACTCACGCCGCGGGCCTGGATCCTGCGGCACAAGCGCGGTGGCAGGCGGGATGGTGAAAGCCAGGCAGGGCAGGCAGGCAGGCGGTGAAAGCCAGGCGTGACTGCTGACAGGCCGACAGGAGCGCTGCCCAGGCGCAGGAGTGCACAGGGCTTCCAGCCAGGGGCACGGCCCTCCACAGGGGCATGCCAGCAGCCAGGTGCGGCGCTCTGCACGTGGTGAGGCAGCCGAGCCTCCAGTGATGCCGTGGGTACTGCACCATGCAGCCCAGCTTCCAGCGTACCGCCCAGCACCCTACCTGTCCCACTTTGTGCGCGGCGTGTGGTAGCCCTTGGCCAAAGACTTCAGCCAGCTCTGGCGCAGGCGCCCCGTCCAGGCCTCCGGGGACATGCGGACCATGCCCATAACTTGCAGGGCCTGCCCGCAGGAAGGGCAGGGTGAGAGCGTGGTCGTCAGCAGGAACGGGAACTGCAGCCCTGAGCGCCAGCTAGCTGAGGCGAGGCAAGGAGCAGCTGCGCAGCCAGCTGGACACCTGCTCAAGGCAGGCAGGCAGGGAGGGCGGCGGCGGCGTGGCATGGCGGTAGCGCTCTCACCTGGTCCAGGCTGTCGCACTCCAAAATCTGCTGCACTGCGGCCTGGAATCGACGGCGCAGGCCTGCAGGCACCACGAGAGCACACAGCAGGGGCCAGCGTCAGGTGGAGTTGGTGCATGCCAGCCATGCACACGCCCGATCCCCGTCCTGCCCTCCAACCGCTACCCACACCGTCGACCCGAAGGTACCACCACCACTCATGCACAGCCACATGCAGGTCCCGCATCTGTGACCACACCCACGCACCTGCTCCCGGGCGCCCGAACGACGAGTCCAGGCGATACATCACCTCGCCAATCGACTGCCTCCTGGGGCGGGCCACCAGGGACAGGAACGCGGCGTGGAACATCAGAAGCCTGCATCAGGGCGGGGGGTGGTGGAGGATGGAGAGCGTGCGTGACATTTGAGGTGCAGGCAGGCAGCGAGGTGCGTGCAGTGCCGTGTGGCAGAAGGGCGCCCCAGATTGCTTGCAGGGCAGGGCCCACCTGAGGGAGACTGCGGAGGCCTCGAAGAAGACCTGCATCAGCTGGGCGTCCACGCCGCCCCTGCGTGGCGGCACCTTGTAGCGGGACACCATGGTGCGGTCTGCCTTGCACACCCACAGCACCTGTCGGTCAACAGCCTCGCTCAGCACCACAGGCAGGACCTGGCGCCAGTCGTGCTGGCGGCTGACGGCCAGCAGGGGCACCAGGTTGCCCAGGGAGGGGGCCTGGGACTTGGTGCGGTGGGCCTCGCAGGACAGGAAGCGCTGCAGGCGCTGCTCGGCGCGCTCCCACAGGCCGTGGTGGTCACACAGGGCCAGCAGCAGGCGGTGCAGGCCGCAGTAGGTGTTGAGGGCGCGCTCTGCGGCGCAGGTAGGGGCGGGGAGGCGGCAGGCTTGTATGAGAAGAGCCGGGCAAGGGCAAGCCAGCCTGGCGGCGAGCAGGCGGGCAAGCCAGCTGCTGCCGCTGTAACGCTGCACGGTGCGGCACACAGCGCTGCTTGCTGCTGTGCGGTACTGTGCTGCGCTCACCCGATGCGGCAGTGCCATGGTCTGCCAGCAGGACGGCGCAGGTGTTGAGCATCGTGGGCAGTACAGTCAGCCACTGCTCGGGTCCAGGCCGGGCGTGCGCAGGGCACAGCTGGCGCAGCACACGGGGCAGGAAGGGCAGCGCCCTGCAGGGCAAGGGAGGGAGAGCAGGCCCGAAGCCAGGCTCAGTGGATGCAGGGGGAGTGGGCCACAGACGGGGAGCAGGTAGCAGCAGTCAGGGTGCCCGCTGGCCTCCTCCGCGCCACCCGGCCTGCCTCTTGCGCTACCACCAAGCAGGCCACCTCCTTCACGCCCCGCTTGTCCTTTCCTGCAGTGCCAGCAGCAGAAGAGCTGTGCCTGCACCACACTAGGGCAGGCACCCACCTGTGGAAGTGGTCCTGCGTGATGTAGGCAGGGATGGCGCCCTGGATGTCCGTCCCGCCCGCGTCCCGCGCCACCAGGCCCGCAGCCACGGCCTCCACAGCCACCAGGTCGGGCGAGGTGGGCATGATGTAGTCGGCAGCCCCGGTCTTGGGGTTGACGGTGAACTGCGGGACAGCGGGACGTGTGGGTGGAGGGAAGGAAAGGGAGGCAGGTGAGAGGCGAGCGAGCGGGTGGGTGGGTGGCCTGAAGGTGTTGTGTCGTGCACAGGGTGAGTGCCAGCACGCAGGGCTGGCCACGCACCATTCCCCCGCACAAGCAGCAGCAGCAGCGCTGGCACGCGGGCCACCAAGCTCAGGCACCCCCCCGCCTCACCTGGTATGCGAATCCGAGCACCTCTGTCTCGAAGGAGGCGCGGGAGAAGAAGCAGGACAGCTCTGGTACCGCACCGCTGGCCTCCAGCTCATACGCAACGCGGTAGTCGGCCAGGGCGCAGCAGCGCAGGGCGGAGGCGGGGAAGGCGCGGTGCAGCAGCGCATGCCACACTTCGCCGTCGCCGCAAGCGGCGCGCAGGCCGCGGCAGGTGGCGCCCAGCGCCGCCACGTCCCTGCGAGGGGTGGA